CCTTAAATTGAAATGAATTTCTGATTACCTTGAATCGCTTAAGTTTACTGATAGTGATTCAGATTACTGGACCAACCAACAGGGATGCCACCATTGCACAGGGTTATAGGCTTGGCAGTTCTCTGTAAAGTGGATTAGTAATGCGATTTGAGTTCCTTATTGATACAATACAGGTTTATTGCCTCCCCTACCTGTAGAAAGTTAACCACCAAGACCATTTATGTGTATTTTTAGAGGAGCCATTAAATAGGTAATGATTCAGTGCTGTGCTGTTCTGCAGATTGGTCTGGCAGTTGGGGACATTGCCGAGGTACAAAAACATGCATCACTGAAGAGGATCGCTATGCAGGTGAATATTCTCTTTAAGACGCACTAAATCACCCCTGTGAAGAACAGGTGACTTTCTGGGAACTCAGTGATTCTATACAACTATGTACTCAATCCCAGGAAGGACCACCATACCACGATGCTTTCTCCACTGTGACCAAAGTGTCAAAAAGGATAACATAAAATTTAAAAAGGTGACTTCGAACAATATAAGCAGAAACACTGAGAAACAACCTAGCCATGACTCTTTTTACACTAGCATGTGACCAACCAGAGAGCCGGCTGCTGGACCAAGTACATCTCAGGAACTTGGTGATCGGTCTTGTCCACTAGCAAAATTCATGCTTGTCAACACTGTGCTTCGTGGCATCGCTGTATGGTGTAACACCAGTCCAAACGGGGATGCAGGATGCCTTTGAAGATGTCGTTAGGGAAGAATGTTGAATGTACTCTGGGCGACTGCCAGAAGAATAAACAAATCCGTCTTAGAAGAAGTACAGTCAGAATGCTCTTTAGAAGTGAGGATGGCAAGACTTTGTGTCATATACTTCAGACTTCATATCAGGAGAGACCACTCCCTGGAGATAGGCAGCTTGCTGGCAAAAGTAGAGGGTCAGCAAGCAAAAGGAAGATCCTCCAGGTGATGGAACATCACAGTGGCTGCAACAATAGGCTCAAACAAAGCAAGAATTATGAGGCCGACACGAGAATTGGGCAGTGTTTCCTTTGGTTGTATACGGGATCCCTACACATCAGGATCAACTCAACAGCACCCAACAGCATCAGTCCAAAGAGCTTGAGACATTAAACAACAGGAAAAAACAAACATATGAATAAAAAAATTGAATTATCAGGTACAAAAAATAAATGCAAAAATAACAAAGGGAATGCTATGTGGAAGAACGGGTGTATGAGGTAGGCCTTGAGAGATGGGTGGAATTTGGAAGGACAGGGAGAAATCTAGGAGGCCCAAAGGTCCAAATGCTGAACTAAGGGGACGTGGATACAGAGAAGAGACTGGAAAAATGGCTCATGTTAGAGGTCAAAGCGTTTGTCCCAGACGATAGAGCGTTTTATTTAAACACAGGGTGAAAAACAAAACAAAAGAAAAAAACTTAACTTTGAAAGAAAGGACAGCAAATGGTGAAGTGTTTCAAGTTATTTTGATAGTTGGGGGACAGTTATTATCAGCCCTTACCAAGAATGGCAACAGAAGGAAAACAGTATTTAAGTGGATCTGTTATTATCTCTGTTTAGTGGGGAATGATTGGGAAAGAGCAAATGACAGGTTGTTATGGAAACAAAGACGGAATTGTGGATTCCAAGTGTGGCTGATAAGGAAAGAAGTGGGGTGTGTGATCGCATGGGCATTGCCTCCTCATTATCCTGATAACTCTTTAAAATACAAGGGAAAGAAATAGAATGAGCAGCAGAATTAGCTAAACTGTCTCAAGAGAAGGCCCACTAGCCTGCAGTGTCCATAGGATTGATTTGAAAACCATAATTCAGTCTTTGTTTACCCTGCTCCCTAAAACAAAACAGTACACAGGTCTGGAAAGTGGGAAGCCAAAAGCAACGTCCTTCATGTTATCTGCTTCCTGTTTTGAATCAGGGCCAGCATTGCCTAGAAAACCAGGAATCCATTCTTCCTTTTCCCTTGAGTTGGTTTAAAAAAAACAAAATATCGGCATCCATTCAAAGTCAGTGCTTCAGGATGCAACCGAACCTGGGGCCTAAGGAAGCATGCAGTATTCCTTTCATGCAGGGACAGTTCGTCCTCTCACAAAGGAGCTGAAGGTGCAGTCGAGACAGAAAGATTCCCTTAGAGCAGAATCACGACATAGACTAGAAGAGATGAATGTTTTGAGTATTTTGAGAGTCTGGAAGCTCTATACCCCCAATGTCTAGCACAGCGCTCGCTCTCTCTCTGTCTCTGTCTCTCTCTCTTTCTCACACACACACACATTTATCTATCTAGCTATCATTGGGAAGGGAAGCCTATGGAGCACATCTGACTCTTCACGGTGAAAAACCCAATGGATGGAGGGGTAAAGATGTTTCCTTATGACAGTGTAACCACATGTAATGGATCCCACAAGACCCAGTTTGGACTCAGGCCTTTCTACATGCTCACAAGTTCCTTTGGGAGTCTTTGCGAGAGAGAATCTGTCAGCTCCTCTATAGCGTGCATCGAATTAAGACGCACCCTGCGCTTCATCTGCTGGTGAACACTGTGCCTGAAGAGAGATTTCCTCAATAAGGGCGAGCAAGTCAATAATCAATGCAGCAAATTCAGTTGGCAATGTGGAAGACACACTTAAGAATATTTAAATGAAACATTTGGGAAAATACTAGGGATGAAAGTAAATTATATAAAGATAAGGAGCGTGTGATTAACATTTTAACTAATGAATTTTCTTAAATAATGCAAAAAAGGAAACATTATTAGAAAAATAAGAGGACTTGGCAATTGAGACTACACACTCACTATATATCAGTTAAAATGAATGGAAAGAGACTTATTTTTTATTTTTTTATTATTTTATTGGGGGGTCCTACAATTCTTCTCACAATCCATACATCCATCCATTGTGTCAAGCACATATGTGCATTTGTTGGCATCATCATTCTCAAAACATTTGCCTTCTACTTGAGCCCTTAATATAAGTTGCTCATTTCCCCCCTCCCTTCCCACTGCCCCCTCCCTCATGAACCTTTCATAGTTCATAAATTATTATTATTTTGTCATATATTACACTGTCCGATGTCTTCCCCCACCCTCTTCTCTGCTGTCCATCCCCCAGGGAGGAGGCTATATGTAGATTCTTGTAATCGGTTCCCCTTTTCCACCCCACATTCCATCCACCCTCCAGGCATCACCACTCTCACCACTGGTCCTGAAGGAGCAATCTGTCCTGGATTCCCTGTGTTTCCAGTTCCTATCTGTACCAATGTACATCCTCTGGTCTAGCCAGATTTGTAAGGTAGAATTTGGATCATGATAATTGGGAGGGGGGGAAGGAAGCATTTAAGAAGTCGAGGCAAATTATATGTTTCATTGTTGCTACCCTGTACCCTGACTGGTTCATCTCCTCCCCACAACCCTTCAGTAAGGGAGTGAGACTTATTTTTCTAAGGACAGCTTCATACCAGTTTTGATTTTTTGAGGATTTAGGCATTGGGAATAACAGAAATTCTTAAATGTAAATCAATAGAGCAAAAAAACATGCTTGCTTTGAAATTCTCCTCCAGAATACGCTAGGTGATTTTGGAGGAAAAGGTAGAGTTTCACAGGTTGTAGCGCAAGGATTAGATGTCACCCAGCTTTTATTAATATGTGAAGACTGATGTACCATTTATAGACTCATTAAACTCAACTCAATGCCTTCGAGTTGATGCATTAGGTGTTCAAAAATAGTTTACTGAGGCCCATGATAGCTAAATAAGAAATGAGTACAAGGTAAGTACTGCAGAGAATCATTATAAAAGTGACAGTGCACACACTGAAACTGATCAAAAGATCAAATGTTTGTGTATAATTATATATGTGGTTAATAAATTAAGTGCAAACATTTCAAACATCAAGAAAAACAAAATTTTACATATTAAAAATATTCCTGGTTTAGGTAGAAAAGGGAGGAGGGAGAGGGGAAAAGAGTAAGGCATTAAAATATATATTTTCATCTTAAATAATTTCTGCGGGAGAGAGTTAAAAGTTATTGGCTTTTTTTTAGTTGCTAAGTATACAATATTGATTTGAGGAAGACTTGCATCAATTTATACGAGTAATTATTACTAAGTAATGTAATCAGGAAGAGGATGGTAGTCATTCAAATCAGAACAAATACTAAAAGCAAACACTTTTAGTGTACGTAGTGGATCTATGACACAGAATGGCAGAGTAAAGAACAAGGAAATGAGATAAACCGAGCAAACTCAAAAAGGATGGCTGGAGTAGAATCAAGCTGGATATGAACAGCCATGTTTTCATTCAACAAATCTTTACTGAGCACTTATTATGTGCCAGTCACTACACTCCATGGTGATCACAAAAACACCCCCAAATAGCAGACACAACAGACAGTGAACCAGCCCGAGATTAATTTGACAAATACGCACACACACAAAATTGACAATATAAAATGAAACAAAATGCAAATGCATGCTTAAAATATTAAACAAGATAAAGAATTTGTCTCTAACAATAAAGAAGGTATACTTAAGTGACATCATGGGTTAACCATTTTGCAGCCACTACACCCACTGGTGCAGCATTAGAGATCTCCCTAATTCTCTGGGATGTGCTCTCTCTAATGCCTTTACTGCTTACCTTTGTGTTCTCCCAGTTTCCTCTCTCCTGTTAAGGGAATCTATTCAAGCCACTCCAATGTTCTAGTATAGTAACCACCCCAGAGTGGACTAAATCTCTTTCTTCTTTATATTCACATCCTCTGTCCCATCCTCCTGTAAGGTAACTATCTGCTGGTGTCAATTGAACTTCTCCTTTAAACATCTTGCCTCCCCACTTCTCCCAGCCACCGATTGTTGCCCTTGTGTGTCAGTGGAGGAAGTGAGAGGGAGGGGGGGGTCAAATGACTGCCACTAGGGGCTCAGGAGACCTGGCCTGACCAGCTGTTCGGAAATAATTCAGGACCCAGGAGTCAAGTTTCCTTTTGTTGTATGAATTAATGATTACTCAGTGCCGTGTGAGAATTCCAGATACTAACTAATGCTGCCTGTCAACACACCCACGATGAATTCTAGGTGAAACTCCACACCAGCTTAGAGAAGAAACTGCCACTCTGCTTCCTACAAAAAGTGGATCAAGAGAGCATCATCGTGTACCCCAACAGACCCAGATATGACGGGGGAGTGATAGTAAGTGGTATCGTTGGGCATCCATTCACTTCGTACTTTTGTGACGGGTACCCTTTTGTAGTGGTTGAGTCTGCTCTGCTTCAGGGAAAGAAGAAATTGAGAAGAAGGTGAGGAGGGAGCTACTTGCTCTCCTCTTCCAGGTGCCTCCGATGTAGTATGTAGCGTCTGTGTTGAATATGCATTATGTCCCTGGGGGACAGATAGATGGGTGGCCCGGCTGTGCCAAGTGTCTTTGTGCATGTGTGTGTGTGTGTGTGTGTAGTAGAAGTATACTTTGTTTTGTATTGTCAGCGATCACTGACATGTGCGTGTGGGTGCCTTAAAGGAAAGACAATGCCATCAGAGACGAAGCCGAGACAGTGAAAAAGAGCCCATAATGTCGCCTTGGCAGACCTGGGTGCTAATTCCATCTGGACCTGAGTTTGCTCCTTACGTTTAAGAGTGCTTCTTCTGAATTTGTTGTAGGGTAATTTTCTTCTGTGTGGTCATAAAATGATAAAGTCCATCTAAGTACCATGCTAACCTGTCTTCCAATTCCACACACCACCATATCTGATTTCACTCATATCCATAGTTGAAATGGCTTCCCAACCCCAAATTCTTGGCAGTTAGCTCTCCTGAGTCCCGAATCCATAGATTCAGCTGTCTCCCTGCATCTCCATTGGTAGTGCTCAAAGGCAAATCGATTCAGCGAGTTTCCACCAGACTCATGATCTCTACACCTGCTATAGAAAGAGTTGAGGAATCCGAACCCTTCTTCAAGGTCATTCATCTCAATTAATATCAAAACCGTTCATTTGCCTGTGCCCCCAGCCACCGTGGAATCGTTCTCAGCAGCCCCTCTCCTTTTCTCCCTCAAGGACACTCAATGCCCAGGCTTTGCCCCTTTGACCTCCAAGGTGACTTTCCCCCACCTTCTTTGGCCTGGACTCATAGAATTACCTGACTACAGGTCATTTCATATTGGAACTTCATCCTATCCAGTCTGTTCTCGGTTTTGAATGCAATTGCTGTTGTGTCCTTTCTGACGCACATTGACCGTGCAAGGCAGAGTGTCCAAAGCTGTCCATCTCTATGGAAGCACACTGTGGCTTCTTTCTCCACCGGGGCAGCTGGTGGGTTAAACCACTAGCCATTTGTTTCGTGGCTGAGGGTTTTAACTAGTGCACAACCAGGGTTCCAACCCATGGTTTAAAAGACTCTAAATTAAAACAAAAATTAGAAAAGTTCTCACAAATTTCTCCCCGAGAAATTTTGTTGGTTGATTCAGTGGTCTTGTATAATAAGTCAGAGCATTTTCAAGAGTGAAAAATCTCCTATGTAAGATCATCCTTTGTCAGAAACTATAAAGTGATTCAGTTAAGCTGTTTCCTAAACGATCTCTGGTCCCAGCCCACTCCTTTATTATCTCTAGACCACGCATGTGCTGTTAGAGTGCTGCGTAGGCCTTGGTTTTAGTGCTCTTTACAGTCAGGCCTCATAGCAAGCTAGGAGCTTCTTGAGAGTCGAGGTTGTGTCTTATGAATATTTATCCTGGGGCAATGGTGTAATGGCTCACTTATGGTACCTGGTCAAAAAAAATTTTTTTCCGAGTGGAGTTTAACTTGAGAAACTATTATGTTTTATCCCACAGTGTTTATTTCAATATATCTTCTCCATCAAAGAAACAGGACAAGAAGCACCAAATGTTGATACATCTTTAGAAACAGAAATATTGAAGCAAAAATACCGGTATGCATTTTTCCTTCTCCCTGTATTTGAGATCCTTGAAACTCTTAAGAAAGAATGCATGGCATGTTGTTATATTGTATACTCTTGCTTAGCTCCCATATCCGGTCATCTTGGGGAAGCGGGAGCTCAACGATAGAATTCTACCATTCCTGGGGGACACCCAAGTTTGACATTTCATCAGTGTAGCCACCAAGCTATTTGTCAGGGGAGATGTGCATGTGGCTATTTTGCTAAACAGCTTTCATCAGAGAGTCCAGGCCAGGGCAGAGGAAGAATAAAGTTCTGACATTCTACTTTTGAAAATCAGCCAATACAAACCCTATGGATCACCACAGCCCGTGGTGTATCGGGTGGGAAGTTACTTTAACCAAGGGCTGACGCAGCAGTAGCTTACCACGTCCACAAAGTAAGCCATGCTCTGTGGAATGATGGTGCCAGTACATCTACAGGAGACGTATTTCAGACCCAGCAACTTTTTTATTGTTGTGGATCAATCACTTTGGTTACTGAGAAATGAGTAAATGCCAACGATGTCCTTGATATTGGGGCTAATAACCTAAAATGTGTTTTTCAAGAACCACCTGCGTTTGTACCTCACACATGAAAACATCGAAGGTGTTTGAGAATCTCTGGAGAAGCCATATGGTGTGCAGTTGTTAAACATTAGGGTTTGTTTCCTTGGGCTGAAAGCCCTGTATAACTACTTACTGTGTGATCCTGAGCAACTTGCTAACCTCGCTGTGCAACAATTTCCTAATCTTTACAATGGAAACAAAAATAATCCATCCATGAATTACCAAGGTCACCTTGGACTTTCTGTTGCCTTGGAGACTTTTAGGGAGCTGTACCGTTCTAGAAGTCTGTGATGATTTATTTTGGCAATCTTCGAAACCCAGATCTACCCATTAGAAAGATGAAGTCCACCCTGAGGGTATAACCTGAGCATAATCAATCTGTTTCAGAGCACTTCTAATTCGTAGGCCCTCCTAGGCTGTGGAGGACTAACGATATAATTGAGAATTTATTCATGAAATATATGTGTTCTTTAGGCTGAAAGACCTCACGTCTCTTCTGGAAAAACAGCACGAGCTCATTAAGCTCATCATTCAGAAGATGGAGATCATCTCTGAGACAGAGGATGAAGACAGCCACAGCTCTTTTCAAGACAAGTTCAAAAAAGAGCAGCTCGAGCAAAGGAACAGCAAATGGAACTGTCTGCTGAAGGCCGTAAAGTCACAGGGCTCTTAGCCTGGGGTCCCCGCCCCGCCTGTGATGCACCTTCCTGAGGGGAGTATGCCTGGCTCAATGAACCCCATTTCCAATTTGCAAACAGTGAAAAAAGAGGCAAAATTCTGACTTTGATTACACTACTCATGAAATCCTCATTCCTTCATTAGGTAGAATAGTAGAAACAATAATCATATTTGCTGTCAGTGACCTTTGGAATGCTATCCTTACTGAGACGTTCAAGAAGACCTTTACCGCTTAGATTCTGAATGTATAGGAAGATCATCTGCTAGAACATACATTTTCAATGATAAGGAGGACTACATGTAACTGTTAGACTAGAATGCAAGTGCCAGTACAGGATTCCTGCTGGAGAAGGATCTTAGATAACAGGTAATGCTGCTGAGAATAGCCTTAGCCATCAGCTTGGGCTCTGACCTGTGAGGTGCTTTTCTATGGGGAACAAACCTATGGGTGTAGTCCTTGTAGTCTTCCTACTATAATGAACAGCCCTGCTCTTCTTGCTAATCCAGCACTCCCATTAGAGCCGACCCCTCAAACATGGAATTTATGATCTGCATGAACATTACCATACATAACATATACAGTGAACACTCGCCACTTCACGCTTCGACTTCCGCGGCTTCACTCTATTGCGGTTTTTGCGTAACAGCGCATGCTCTGTCATTACTGCCACTGATTGGCTCATACTGTACACACTTGATGCCATAAATAATATAATAAATAATAAATGATCATTGTAACGTCCAAAATGTTTTACTGTATTTTCCCTTTTTCGTTTAATAAATTGGGTAATATGAGTGTAATGGTGATTAAAGGGTGTTTTTTCATGTCCTCTATGCTCTAACTACGAAAATATTTGATTTACAAATAAGGAATCCTACTTCGCGGAATTTCATTTATCACGGTAGGGTCTAGAACCGATTAATCGCGATAAACGAGGGTTCACTGTATTACTTCTGTATATTTTGCTTTGCCAAGCGTAATAATAAATGTAAAGGGAACATACTTGCTCTTAGTGATTATTGTGTGAATCTTTTGTTGCATTTAGTTATTTTGAGATTTATAAATGCCTCATTGTATGTCACCTCGCCAGTGTTTTTAAATGTCCAGTCAAGACACAAATAAATCTCACACCTTTACATTGATCTTTCTCAGGCCCTTCTTTTGTTTGATTTTATCTTCTATTTCACCCCAATTCCCATTCTTCAGCCATGGTTCCTGGGTTCATGGAGGCCTAAAATCTAATATATGTATCTTTGTTGTGTTAGGTGAGGTTTTCTAGAGTAGCAAAACCAGTGATTTATATAGATATAAATATAAATAAATAAACAAACAAATAAATAAATAAATATGTTTGTGTATCCAAGATACCACTGTGTTACTCTGTGCCCACGTAGTACAGGGCGGCAGACCACAGTTGACCGTTTCCTTGTGTGCATCGATCACGTTGTACTTCTCTATCCTTCTAAAGATGGACATCTGGCTTGCCTCTACCATAGATATATCACCTAACACCATAAAGACATGTATGTTATACTGAAGGCCTCCATGAACCCATGAACCATGAATTGAGAATAGGAATTTGGGTGAAGGAGAAGATAAAATCAAACCAAAGAAGTACCCTAGAAAGAACAATGGAAAAGTTCTGAATTAATTCATATTTTCATATGTGTATATTTCATATACATAACTTGAATTTACGAGAGTATGTATATTAATATTTTGACATCCAATTATTCATTTGAAAATGAATTATTTGTGAATATATTAACTATTTAGATATGAAAAGATGAATTTATGCTACATTATCTAGCATATAGGGTATAATTATATCATATATATTATTACATTATATAATTTATTGTCTATTATATATTATATAACTGTACTGGTATATTTATAATTATTTATAATCTAAAATAAATAATTATAGACAGAGGGGGGGAAGAGACATATTTATAACAAGAAAATGGCTCATATAGTTGCAGATGCAAGGAAGTCCAGTCCCAGGCCCTACAGGCTGGTGGCTACAAAGATGCTTGACTGTAAGGTCAGCAGGTAGGTCAGGCTGGTGACTGGGAAGATGAATAAGCCCAAGGTTGGCATGTTGAATGGCAAGAGAGATGGCAGGCGGCTGATGGCTAATGGGATCAGTAGGGAAGTAGCATGTCATTGGTTCAACCTCTGGTTTTGCACCAGAGGTCAAGGAGCCAGAAGCAGGATCTGGACCCAGCACAAAGCAAGCAAACTTTTTCACATTGTCTTGAGGAGGAAGTAGGCCACACCCCCAAGGACACTTCCTTTCTACTGCATCTAGACTGAACTGAGACATGGGATTTTAGTCCACCTTAATCTTACTTATAGCAGATCCCATTATGGAATTGATTATATTGTGTTAGGTCAAATTATGGGGGACTGTTAGACCTTAACCACCAAAGCACGGAGAATCCTGGCTCCGTGAAGCGGATCCTGCTGATGCTATGCTGACCTGTGTTATTCAAGTGTAGTTTTATTTGCATAGAGGGTGGTAGATGATAGTTCTTGTTATACTTCTCACTTTTTCAGTTGGACATTCTGTTTATCAGAGACCACTGTGTTACCCTAAGTCCATGTAGTAAAAGGCTGCCGACAGCTGTGTACCATTTCCTTGTGTCCACCCACCACATTATGCTTCTCTCACCTCCTCGTTGAGATGAACGGCTCAGTTGTTTCCGCTTCCCCGTTAGATATGCTCACGTTGAGACAAAGATGTCGTGCTGGACGCGAGAACATATGATTATAGAACCTGACATCTTTGCATGTGTGGCCTAACTGTGCACGTGGCAGAGAGATGGCGTTGCGTGTTTCTTAATCTCCGATATAAAGATGAAGGTCTCTATTCTTTATTTTCCTCAAATCAGCAGGGCCAGACATTTACAAGATAGTAGCAAGCACTAGGATTCTCCAGATCACAAATCAAATGTGGCCTGTGAATGACTTGAATTGAGGCCCTAATGTATATACGATCAACTCTGAGATGTCAACAACCTGATCAGACACAGAGCAGGAAGGGCCCATGGGGGAGAAGACTCAGGCTAGGTGGAGAACGTCAAGGGACCCAGGAACCGAAGCTGAGACAAGAAAAAGCCTTCTGTTCAATAAAGCTGCCCACTTGTGGTATTTGTGTTCAGTCTTCAAAATCATCAAGCACACGATATAGAATCATAGCCTATATTGATTAAAAACCAAGGACAAGTGAAATATCTCATCACCACTGGTGGGGAATGTGGACATATCTAGGGGAGCATCCTTGGTCTCAGTTTAAGGAGGCGACACATCATGACTGCGCCTCTCCGCACCAATACCACCTGCCTGCTGCTCCCACCATCTTTCTTGGGGTCCCTCTCCGCTTCTGTGGTCGGCTGGCTTTTCTGCCTTGCTCACTAGATGTTTACATCCTGGAGGTGTGCCCTCAATCCTCTTCCCTAGCATCTCTTTGCAACCTCGGTGATTGGATTCCTACTCGGCTTCTTCTCCCCTAGTGCAGAGTGTTCTTGAATTTCCATGGCTCTTCAAATGGAATTGAAAGAAAGAAATATGAATTCACTTTTGGGAGGGGATGATTAGGGGAGGTCAGGGATCACCAATTCCTCCTGATTTCCTGTTTTCCATAAATGATATCATTATTCTCTGTGACGCCCAGGCTGGAAACTGTCACACCATGGAAGTTCACCTCCCGAAGGCGCACCTCTCAGTCGTCACATGCATCTTAAAAAACTTTAAAGGCTTTCTATTTCAGTCCTAGGTAATCTGATCATTAATGGCCCCTCAGCTGGGCCCAGTTAGCTTGGTTTCACAGTGCAACACATTGCAACCGAATCAAAGAGGCCACTGATACACCATGAGATATATGGTGAAAATGGTTTGCACTCAAATCGATAGGTTGAGCCCATCCAGGCACTCAGTGGAAGACAAGGCTTGGTAATCTGCTCCTAAAGATAACAGTCAAGGAGACCCTACAGAGAGGCCCCACTATGTAAAACACGGGCTCACCGTGAATTGAGGGCCAACTAGGCTAACAACAATAGGACCTTGACACACTTTGCTTCATTCAGAAATCCTCTACCTGCCTCTTAAAGCCCAATTCAAATGGCATCTCCACCTGGGAGCCTTCCTTGATGCTCCCAACTGAATAGGCTGCCTGCTTCCTCTCAACTAGAGTCACTGGATACCTTGTTTGGCTACTAGCAAAAAGGTTGCAGGTCAGAGCAACAGAGAGATTATTGGCTCCCTGCACAGCAGGGCACCCTGAGAGAGCCTGTGCAGGGGCCCCTGTGGGGAGGGAAAGGCAGAGTGAGCCCCTCACTTTGACTACGGACCAACTGAGTCCACCACTTACATCAGCATTTGAGACCAGCTGAATCACCCCGCAGGTTCCCTGGTGTCGCAGTGGGTTATGGAAGAGCATCAGTTCAGAATGACCCGCAACTGCTGGGTAGAAAGAGGGGGCTTTCTACTCCTGTAAAGATTTACAGTCACGAAAACCCTCGGGTGCAGTTCTACCCTGTCCTAAATAGGGTCATTATGAGTTGGCATCGACTCAATGGCAGCAAGCTTTTAAAACATCCAGCACAAATATATAGAATTTCAGACAGTAGATATCCAGAACTCATGGCTATATACAGTGCTGAAAACAAAACAATACAAACAAAACAGAAATATGAGTGCCCTCTAGTGGTCATTAGAAGAAGATGCTAGACGCAGGGCCTTCACGTCTATTTCCAGTCAGGATGCGACTGTGATCTTCGGGTAGAGAGGGTCACATCTTTCTCCCGTGGGGTTGCTGGTGGCTGCTGGCCCCTGACATTTCTTGGCCTCTGTGCCACCAGTGTGTTCAATCACAAATATTTTTTATGAGAATCAGAAAACAGAATTCAAGTTAAAAAAGGCAAAAAAGATAACAACAAAACACAAAATCACAAAAGAAGGCCCAATTAAAGAAGACACAGAAATGAGAA